AGGGCTCCAGCTGGGTGTATGGGCTCTGGGATGAGGCCGGAGTTGAGGTGAAGGGAGTGGGGCAGGAGGTTGCGGTGTGGGGGGGGTGAGGGCTCCAGCTGGGGGTGTGGGCTCTGGGGTGAGGCCGGGGATGAGGGGGTTGAGGTGAAGGGCTGGGGCAGGAGGTTGGGGTGTATGGGGGGGGTGAGGGCTAAAGCTGGGGGTATGGACTCTGGGGTGAGGCAGGGGATGAGGGGGTTGGGGTGAAGGGTGCTGGAGTAGGGGGTTGGGATGTTGCGGGGTGCAGGAGAGGGTTTGGGGTGCAGTGTCCCAGTGACGCTTACTGTGGCTTCCAGGAAGCAGCCACCAGGTCCCTGCAGCCCCTAAGTACATGGGCGGTCCCTGCTGCCCTCACGCCCACAGCACCGTCCCTGCTGCCCTCACGCCCACAGCACCGCCCCCACAGCTCCCATTGGTTGCGTTTCCCAGCCATTGGGAGCTGCGGAGCAGCCGCTTGGGGTGGGGGCAGTGCAGGGAGCCTAGGGGCTGCTTCTGGGAGCCACACGGAGCCAGGGTGAGTAGGAAGCCTCCCTTAGCCTTGGGCCCCCACTGTGCCGCCAACTGGACTTTTAACGGCCCGGTTGGCAGTGCCGACCGGAGCCACCAGGGTCCCTTTTCAACCAGGTGTTCCGGTCGAAAACCGGCCGCCTGGCCACCCTAGACGACAGGCAGGCAGAGAGGGGCTCTGCAAAGGCTTGAAAGGAGACAGGCAGTGATTTGCTGCACTAGACAAGGGGGAGCCCGAGGCGAGATGTAGAGAAAGGGGTGATGTGGCCAAAGCAACGGGAGGAAAATGCTCTGCACCTGCATTCTGAATGGAGCTGAGCGAGGCAGGACGGTGCTTGTCGAAGCCAGAGGGAGGGAAGTTGCAGTGATCAGGGCGTGAGGCCATGGGAGCCTGGATGGGAGCTGTGGCAGGGGGTGGATAGGACGGCTGTCTCCTGGAGAAGTTACATAGAAAGAATCAGTAAGATTCAGACACAGCCTGACGTTTAGACAAGTGCTCGTTTCTGCCCACGTTCCCAGCTGTGTGGGACTCCTGCCTGCTCCCAGCCAGGAACAGCCCTATGGCCTCTCTGCCCCTCCCCTCTACAGTCAGACCACACCAGGGGTGTGTCCGCATCACCCACTGTGCATCCCCTCTGCAGGCGTGGCAGAGAAGCAGGCACCATGGTTCTGGATTCACGTGGTTCTCCCCACTGCCTCTTTGATGCTCATCCTGGTCCTTGTCATTTTGTTGATTCGAATGGAAAGGTGAGTCTTCCGCTGCTTCCCCAAGAGCCCCCAACCCCTGTGCACAGGTATTGCCCTGTAAGGCAGAGAAGTTTTGTTCCCCGGGTAGGTCCTCCTGGCTCAGAGCGGTGACCCAGACCCGCATCAGCTCTGCGGGCAGGACACAGGGTGGGAGCAGGATTCGGCCAGGAGGACCCACCTGGGGAACAGGGCTGAAGGGCTGAATCAGAGGAACCGAGTGGTGCCTGGCTGAGGAGGGCCCCTGGGCCCATGGTAGGGTGTTTGCAGCCAGCTTCCAGGGGCTGCCCTTCCTCACTAAACAAGTCCTTTCCCATTCTGCAGAGTCTGGGTTATTCTCATGCCCAGAATCCCCAACCCCAGCAAGAACTTCGATGAGCTCTTCAACACCCACCAGGGCAACTTCCCGGTAAGAGTGCTGGGCCGGGGATGGAGGAGCCGCCGGGCCGGGCCGGGCTGGGGACGGTGGGGCCGACGGGCCGGGTGGGATGGAGTGGCCGACGTGCC